CCCACTGTGGGCCCCCACCCCGTGCCACCTCTCTTCTAAAGACAACTGTTCTGAATTTTTGATAAATAATCTTGCTTTTTGTTATAGCTTTTTTGTTATAGTTTTAATATCTGTATCTCTAAATGACATATTGTTAGTTTCCGACTTCATATAAATAAAATCATCATATGTGTATTCTCCTATGATTTATTAAACTCAACATCATGCTTTTGAAATTCTTCCCTGTTAAGGAGCACAAATTTGGTTTATTCCCTTTCTGAGCTGTATTCTATTCTGTGTTTTTCCATCCTAGGATGGGAGGGGTACGTTGCTTCATTTTTGTAATAAATACAATTCTATGGATATCTTTTTGCAAGACTCAAATTGTAGCAGCATCAGAGTCACCTGGATGGTTTCTTAAAACACAAAATTGCTGGGTCCTACCATTGGAGTTTTACTTAGTAAATTTGGGGTAGGGCTTGAGAGTTGGCATACCTAACGAGATCTCAGATGCCCAAAGACCACGCTTTCAGATCCTGGGTATAAAGTAGGAGTAGAGGATAGGAAATGTGTATGCCCATCCTTACCAGGTATGCCAGTCTGTCTTCAGAGTCTTTCTACAAATCCACAAACCTATCTGCAGTTGTTCCACATATTTGTAATTTGTACTTCTTTATTTAAGTTCAGTGTCTTTGTCATATATTTATTGTCCATTAATGTTCTTCTGTGTGATGACTGTTTGGTTCTTGCTCATTTTTCTATTGTTTTGTGTGTGTGTGTGTTTTCTTTATTAATATGTGAGTTCATTATCTTTTATAGATATCAATTCCTTTTCAGTTATACAAGTTGAAAAATTTTCTCAGTTCTCAGCCTGTCTGTCCTTTTACTCTCTTTAAGTTGTCTTTTGAAGAACCAAAACTTGGTAATTCCCTACTCTGAGTTCATAAAGATAGTCTCCTATATGCTATTTTCTAAAAGTTGTATTTATTTTGCCTTTCACTTCTAGGTCTTCATTTGCTTGGACTTGACTTTAACATATGGTGTAAGGGAAGGATCAGATTTTAACTTTTTCTACATGTCTTCATTGTTCTGATTTTGTCTTAATATCCAGGCTAAGATCCATACAGAAATGTCACAAATATTCTTCATGGAAGAATTTCGTAGCTTATGAAGTTCCATAAAAACTCCATTGGAATTTTGATTATAATTGTACTGACTCTGTAGCTCAATTTAGGGAGAATTAATATATTTACAATGTTCCTATTAAAGAATATGTATATGTTCATAATAGCCTCCTGTATTTAATTGATATTACATATGAGTTATTAATGTTTTTTATTCCTAATACTGTTTGTCACTCCCCTCCCCTTCATGTTTCTGATTAGTCTTATGGGAAATTTCATCTGCTTTGTTAGGTTTTTTTAATATGCTTTTGGGAAGAGATTTTTCTTTGTGGTAAAATATTTGTAACAAAATTTATCATTTTAATTGTTTAGATATACAGTTCTGTGACATTAAATACATTCACATTGTTGTACAACCATCACCACCATCCATCTCCAGAACTTCTTAATCTTCCCAAACAGAAACTCTGTACCATTAAACACCAACTCCCCATCCCCTCACCACCAGCCTCCAGCAGCCACCATTTCACTTTCTATCTCTATGAATTTGACCACTCTAGATACCTCATATAAATGGAATCATACAATATTTGTCCTTCTGTAGCTGGCTTATTTCACTCAGCATACCTTCATGGTCCATCTGTTTTGTAGCATGTGTGAGAATTTCATTCCTTTTTAAGGCTGATTTAACATTCCATTGCATGTATATATACCAACCACATTTTGTGGATTCATTCATTCGTCTGCGGACACTTGGGTTTTTTTCCTACCATTTTGCCACTGTGGATAATGCTGTTATGAATATGGGTATACAGATATCTCTTTGAGTCCCTGCTATCACTTCTTTTGGGTATGTAACCACAAGTAGAATTGCTGGGTCATAAGATAATTATATGTTTAATTTTTTAAGGAACCACCATACAGTTTTCCATAGCTGTACCATTTTATATTTTCAGCAGCAGTGCGTAAGGGTTCCAGTTTCTCCACATCCTCACCAACACTTGTTATTCTGTGTGTGTGTGTGTGTGTGTGTGTGTGTGTGTGTGTGTATAAAAATAGCCATCCTAACAAGTATGAGGTGGTATCCCATTGTGGTTTTGATTTGTATTTCTCTAATGTGTTAGTTATTCCAGAGAACCATATTTTGGCTTTGTCATTTATTTTTATTATATGTTTGTCCTCTGTTTAATGTTTCCCTCCATTACTTCTCCTGGGTTTATTGTGCTGCTTTCACTTCTTAAATAAGATGCTGTTGTTGAAATAAGGACCACAGACCTAAACTTTTAAAATTAGGACCGTTGTTTACTAATAGTATGCACACGGGAAAAGAACACACAGCCTACAAAGAGACAGCTCCTCTCCTTTGGCTCCTCAGAACCTTGAAGTTACAAAAATTCTTTTCAACATGTTTATGTGGATAATATAGGCAGAACTAGCCCAGTAACACAAGTCAGGCCTCAAACCCGTACTCTGAGAAATATGTTTCTCTGTGGTGAAGGGTCTCCCTTTCCTTTTCTGTGGTCAGAAGTCTGGAGTTTGTGGGTAAAGGACTCCTTGCGATATAGGGAAGAGCTCTGGGGAAAGTTACCCTATGACATGGAGGGGGCATAGTCACTGCTGGCAAGTCAGGGGTGAGTGGAGTCTTCATCGATGCCTAGCTCATCAAATTAGAAAAAAGAGGCTCAAAATTCAGCCTGTAAAGTTTTGATACGCAGTATTCTTATTATTGTTCAGGCCCAAGTAATTTCTAATTTTTATTGTAATTTTTTTTTTTATAAGTTGTTTGAAGTTTGGTTTTTAATCCCACGTGGCTTGTCTGTCCCTTGGCCAGTCTGAAAGTTATACTGTCTATTCTTTTATTAGTTTTCTTAGTTATTTAAACACATTTACTTAAAGTCTAAAGTTAAACACTTTAACTTCTCAAATAGAATCATGGCATAATTTAGCTGATTACTATTCCCGCTTGCCCCCCTTATGCTATTTTTATTCAGTATTTTAATTCTATCATTTTTAATACATGTTAGACATTCTTATTACTGTTTTATATAGTCAATGTATGTTTAAATATACCTACATAGTTACTAATATCTTAGCTTAATTATCCATCTTCCTTCCAGATCTTCCATCTGGGATCATTTCCTCTTCTTATCTGAATACATCCTTTAGAAGAGGTTGGCTGGCAGTAACATTTCTCAGTTTTTATTTTGCCTCAAAATTTCTTTCTTATTTTTTTTAAAGATTTTTTTATTGGGAAATTGGGGGAGGGGAACAGCATTGGGGAATCGGGGAAAGGGAACAGATAAGTTGCTGCCTTTTTGTTCTTCAGTCTAGTTGTGGAGGACATCGCTTCACTGGCCCATGTTGGTATCATCATTGCGCTCTTCCTGGGTGAGGCAGATCCGTCGCTGGGCCTTGAATGGCCGCTCACGGCAGTTCTTGGCAGCTCACACCAGCTGCCGGCCACTCACTCTGGCTGTCAACCACTCTTGGTAGCTTATGGCAGCCCGCTGCAGCCTACGCTGTCGCCGGCGACTCAGAGCAGCCCAGCTCCGGTCGAGCTGTTGTTCACCATCTTAGCTGTAGAGGGCGCAGCATCACTGGTCCTCATGTGCGATCCAAACCGGAGTCCTGTGCTCAGAGCTGGTGTCCCAAGCCAACTCTTAACCAACGCCCCACTCGGCCGGCCCCTCAAAATTTCTTTATTGATATTTTTAGTACAATGGAAAATTCTAAAAATTCTTTTCTTAGCCAACTGAAGATATAATTCCACTGTCTTTTGGCTCCTTAATTGTTGCTTTTAAAAAGTTAACTATTGGTCTAAATGCTATTCCAATGTATCTCTTTTTTTTTTCTAGCTGCGTTTAGTATCTTTTTGTTTGTTTCAAGTTCTTCGGTTTCATTATGAAATATCTACTATAATTTTCATTTCTGTTTGAGATTTGTTGGGCTTTCTGGATCTTAAGTATAGTATCGTTCAACAATTCCAGAACTTTTCTTTTTCTTCCCATCTTCTATAGTATTTCCTTTTGGAACTCTATTTTCAACATCTTAGGTTATCTTCCTAGTCCCTTAATATCATTTCACATTTCTCCTTTTCTCTCTCTGAGCCATATTCTGGATTATTCAGATCAACGTTCCAGTTCACTAGAGCTCTTTTCAACTATCTCTTATCTCTTTAATCCAGTGAATTTTTAGTTCCTATTTTTAAAATTTTCATCTCCAGAAGTTCCATTTCCTCATTTTTAAAATCGGTGTAGACATCTTTGTAATCTTTTGTCCTTGTTCATATTTTCAGTGCTTTTAAAAAATTTTCTGAAACGTGTTAAAATACGTATTTACATATTTGACTGGTAAATCCAGTAATGAAGTATTTACAGGTCCAGCCCTGCTGTCTGTTGTTTCTGCTGGCTTTTACTAATAGTGACTTGCTTCCTTGTGTTCGGAGTGGCAGCTGCCTTTCTCCAGGGGGGATTTCTGTTTATTTCTGAGTCACTTGGGGTTGTCTAGGATATTTACATTGCCATTATGCTATAAAAGAATACCTACTTTATCTCTCCTTTCTCAGTGTTTCTCAAAAGAAACAATTCCCCAGTGGGTGAAAAACTTATGCAGGGAGCATTTGATATCACTCTTATTAAGAGAACCACAAATGATTATTCCCACTTTGGAGGATAGGAACTAAGACACTAAAATATCTTACAAATCAAATTCTTTATCCCTTGTATCTGGGTTTACCTTCAGGAGGATTTCTGTTTGGCTATGAAACTACTTCTCATAGAATCCATATCAGGTCCACTACACATCATGAATGACTAAATGGCAAGATTATTATTTATTTCAGTCACATCATGAAACACTGCTCGAGGAATAACCCTACAGTCACAGCAATGCACCAACCTGTGAGGGTCATCGGGATCACAGTTAGGAAGAAACTGAGTGATTGCTTCTGCTACTTCCTCATTTGGTAAAACATCCCAGAGTCCATCAGTGGCCAGGATCAGCACATCATCTGCTCCATGCTCGTATTTGGAGAGATCGTAGACTCTGACCTGAAAAGAACAGGAACAGTCCTACTTAAGAAGCTGGGAGCGCATTATTCCCCCTAACGAGCTGGCTTCTGACTTCCCTTCCCTTTTCGCGCCCAGCCCAGTGGTTTTCAGGTATGTATTGTGAGGTACTTGATTGTGCAGCAAGCTTTGTGCCCAGGGATAGCCTTCTTTAGAGACTCACTGTACAGGCGCGTGGGGCCCAACAATTGGACAAAGAAGAAATTAACTGAAAATCTAGTACCAGAGATGTAACTGGAATACTGACTTAACAGTAGATACTATGCTAGCTAGAAGAGCCGCCAGAGACTTGTTTTCTTCCTTCCTTTGCACATCCATTCCACAAACATTAATTAAAGGCCTGTTTGGGGCCAGTTGCTCTAAGTATAAAGACTAGCAGAAGTCCCTGCTTCTGAGCTCTCAGTCTGGGGGGGAGGTAAGGCCAGCCTAGAATCCTTATTAGTTGCTCTGTATGTACTGGTCTAGGACTAAGGAGACACACTTTATTCAATGCATGTACTTGAATCACCTTTTGGCTTACCTATTTGAGGCCCAAGGGGACACATCTTGTGTAAAGATGGAGCCGTGATGCTACACTCAGGTTTGAGGAGCCTCAAACTACCCTACATTACAAAGGACGCATGCTGAGTCTGAATCTCCAAAGCAGGTCTTGGCAAACTTTAAGTCTTTCTTCATCTCTAGTACGTGGAATGACTTGGATATTTCAACATCCATCTAAACTCTTCAAAAAGAACAGAGTCATCTTGGCAAAACTAATAAGAATAAAAATCAAGCCTTTTTGGGTTAGGCCACACTCTGTCCACCCTGCTTTGGTGGGGCAGGGGAAAGGAAGAGTTTGGGAATTCACTGCTATTCCCTAATTTGGCAGAACCAGCCCCTGCCTACACCCCTTCAAGAGCTGAGGACAAAGGCAGGTCAATTTCATCAATCTTTCAGTTCCTTCAACCTCCCCCCTCCCCCGCAATCACTCTATCCTATTTTCTAAAAACAAGTCGGAGTGAAAGCTGTAGGCAGGGGAAGGGAGGGGAGAGGAAGGAGGAGGAGGTGGTGTAAGCAGCTGCTCCCATGCCCCATCACACACAGTCATTATTATGTCATCTCAGATCTAGAGCGCATATGATTCTAAGAGGCCTACAGACTGCTCAAAGCCATGCCTTTGAAAGCCAAGCCTCCTATGTTTTAAAAAGGTTTGCCCAGTTCACAGGGCTGGTCTGTGGACTAACAGCCTATACCCGCAGAAGCAGAAAGCAACAAAATACCCCACATCTAACCACAGAGCCCTTGGAAAATCAGCGAAACTGGAAAGCTGCCTCCAGGAGCCAGGCCTCTGTGGCCTGCAAACTAGATGATAACACTTAGCTAATGGCCCAGAGCGTGGGCCACACTCAGGAGAGGAGCGCTCAGGGCTGTACAGTACTGGGCTGGCTTTTCACGCTTTCCCAAAAGGCATGTGCACTTAGGATACGTTTACATGCTAGAGCAGGCCCTGTACCTTATGAGGTGAAATTAAAGAAAAAAGAGGGGAGGAATCTTAAGTGTACAGCACACCGGAGGAATGTCCCAAATGCCAGAACTGTCTCCTCAGGCCCCTGAACTCATATGGTCCAAATTCCACTCTGTAGAAGCAACCAAATCCCCTTTGCTTTACTTTCTGTGGTTCCTGGGTATCAGTCTCAAATGTTCATGTGCACAGGGATCAGCTGGGAAGCCTGCTAAAATGCAAACTCTGATTCTTTTCTGGGGTGGGGCTTGAGGAGCTGTGTTTTTAACCTATTTCCATGCGCTGCTGATGCTACAGGCCCATGGGCCACACTTTTGAGTACCAAGGCTGTAGAGAAGTCCTACTGGCTTGTGCAAGGAAATCAAGGGCTCGGTGGCCTCTGGGACGCCTACACAGACCATCCCCTAGGGAAGGCTATGTAGAGGATGGCAGATGTCACTCCTGGGCTCCCAGCTTCAAGTCCTGGCTCCCTGTGTTGTTCCTTTCAGTATGTCATAACTTTGCTTACGAGAGACTGCTAGCTTCTTATTGGGGTGTTCCTACAATCAATTTCTATGATGATTTGAGCTCCATAGGATAGAAAACGTTAAGTAAAGGGAAGTGAGGAGATGTGATGTCAGGTGGCCCAATTTTATGCTTGGAGCTGTCGCTGCCTTCCAGCTCCTTCCAAAAGAGAGGTTTCTAGGTCGGGAGTTAACATCCTTTTAATTTCAGGACCTGCCCTGTGTGTAGGGTGCCCAATCTCTTCAAGTACTTCCTGCTGGCCCCCAAAATGTGGAGATGAGAGTTGCTTAAGCCGAAGCTGTCCTGCCCATTACTCAAATGGAAATCTGGCCGACAGAAGGGGTGTGGGTTGATAAATAGAAACATGTTAGAAAATGCTCCTTTTCAATTCCATCAATAAATTGAATCCTTCCCTAATTCCACTATTCACATTTCCACACACAGCTCTCTAATGCAGTTTCATTAGCCAACATGAAAATCCCTTTCAATACCATTCTCCAAGTAATTTTTATGTAAATAATAAAAAGCTGGTCTCAACCTATTCCCTGAGGCACTCCCTAATTAACATCCTTTTAGGTTTTTACTGCTACCCTTTGTTTCCTGCCCTTTAGCCAATTTCCAAAGGACTCTGCCAACTTTCCACTTACAACTGGTGTCTTATACATTAACCTGTGATGCAGAACATTTTGTGAAAACGCTTTCAGAAAAATTGGAACTTCCATGCAAGACATCCCACTGCACGCTCATCCTCCCCTGTGGCAAGGGCTTCAAAGGCTTCCAGCGGGCTCCAGAGTCCTGGCCTTCACTCCCTGGAACTGTTGTTGGCCCTCCTCAATCAGACCACACTCACCTCCCCAACGTTCCCTGTTCAATTCCTTAAATAGCTTTTTAATGTTCCGGGAAGCCTCACATCAAACTAATAGGATCTGAGGCTCCCCGGGATTCAGACACCAGGAAGAGAGTCTCAGCAGGCCTGGGGGGACGGTGCGGGGAGTGTATTACAGAAATCCTTGTCTGAAGCGGGGCTGGAGAACATGGTCAGGGCTTCCAGCAGCTACTTCCCGTGCTCCCATCCGCCAAGAAACGGAGAGAAAGGCCCAAGGAATGCTTGAGATTTTTACAGTTTCTCAGAGCAATGTAATTGGAGCAGCCAAGAGAGGAGGACTGTGTGGGGCCATCTGCCCTCCTAGAGCCTTCATTACATGTTTATTGAGCATTTACTGTGTGCCAGCTACTTTTCCAGGCTCTGGAGATACAGCTGTGAGCAAAATGACAAAGTCTGTCCTAACTTCTAACCTAGTAGATGGGATAGAAACACAAATAAATTCCAATAGCAGAAGAGGGTAGGTGCTCTGGAGAAAAATCAGGCAGGTAAGAACAATGACGAGAGACTCCTTTTAGATGGAGTTGTGGTGGCCTCTCTGGGAGGGCACTCTATGAAGAGAGACCTGAATAAAGAAGATGATTTCCCAAGGTCCCTTCCTTGTGTTGCCCCTTTCTTCCTTGGGGACCCATCACTTCTCTGCATTAAGAGTGTCTGGCACCCGCTGCTGCCAAAGCAGCCCTGATGAAGACCCAAGAGCAGCATCCTTCTTTGCCCTGGTCCTCTGCAGTCACCATCCTTCCACAGCCACTTACATGGAACTTACCTGCTGATACCACTCTGGGTTCACCATCTGTCTCTTCCACAAGAACAGTTCTTCTCAATTTTAATGTGTTTAAGAATCACTTGGTGCTAATTACATAAATTTGTAAGATTCAAGGGTCCACCTTTAAAAATTCTGATGGTGTAGCTCTGAGCCCAGGCATAAGCCTGTTTAAACGTGGACCAGGTAAGTCTAATGCAAGTGCTGAGAGAACTGAACCCTGAAAACTGTTCCAGGCACTCAGGTCCTCTGGGGGCAAGCTCTAAGCCGCCCAGTTTGGTTTTGTCCCCACAACAGAAAGCCCAGCACGTGGTCACCATTCAGCAGATCACCAAGGGAAGCATTTCCCTTGTCGGACAGGTATACTGGTCCTGCTTACAGTGAACACCCAGTGGGCTGATGATCGTTTCTACCCACTCACATTCAACCTTTGGAGGCCAGAGATCCCACTTTGCATTTCTTCTGTGGGCCTAGCAGAGTTTTTCACAGTATAAATCACAACAGATCTTCAGAGCATATTTGCGGAGACAGAAGTAAACGGGAAAGAAGGAGGAGAAAAAAACTCAGCCTATGAACTCCATTCAAAAGACCCCTGAGCTCACGGTGACCCATTAGCTTGTTAACTCCGCCAACTCCCAAGAAGTCACGACAATGTAAGACGCTGATATTTAATAGAAGCAGCAGACTTTCCTTTTCTTCTCCTGCCTTCAGTGGAGCTGCTAACTAACAACATTCCAGTGTTAGGGAGCGAGCAAGACCGAGTCTGAGGGCACAGAGAGCCTTGGCTGACACGCCCCGAGTCCCCCGAATGCTGGCTGCTCTCACAGGGCCGCCGGCTTCGGGGCGCTGAGGTCCTGAACGTCCCCACTGGGCACCTATTTTACACAGGAGCTTGTGACAAGCAGCTCGTTAGTACAGCATGTTCACTGAGCGCTCAGCCACAGGCTGCTTGTCTCAGCGTTTGGTGAGTACGTGTTCGCATCTTTGCTCTATTACTAACGAAATCTCGGTGGCATGTGAAGAGAGCTCCTGCCACTGTAAGCCGACTCTGGCTTCTTAAAACTACTTTTAAAAAGAACCCATCAATTCTTTCATTTGCCAAATCTCGGCTGCTTCTCTAGGATGCCCTCACAGCTGTTACATCTGTATCAGCTCAGCAAAGTCTCAGAACCCGTTTTTTCCCTTTTAAAGTTCCCAGTGCAGCATGATGAGCTCCTGCAGCTCAGGCCTGGCAAGAGCCCTGCCTTGTTAGAGGCGCTCACGTCAGGGCTCCGCTTCCAACAGTCTTTGGGGTTGGAGACAGACCATTTCTTTTCTCTAGCTGTCAATGT